TGTGATTCCATATTTCCAGCTCTAAAAGCTGATCCATGGCTCCTCAGAATTTTCTTCTTTGTTTCTTTGCTTAATTTGTTCCAAGCAAGCGTGTCGACTTTAGGTTTAATGTCTTTCACCTCTTCCTTATATCCTCCTCATTTTTATTCATAAGTAAGAAATGTCTCGTGGCTGCGGCACACCGTATTGAATTGAATCAGCGAATCAAGAAATAAGAAAAGGTTAATCATCAGGATAATGATTTTATTATAATTGAATTGAATTATGATTGAACCCACACGCGCACATATGAAATATTATATATTAGATCAGATTGCTTAGGCACTATTTGTGCTTAAGATCTAAAACAAGAAAGATTTTAAAAGTAGAATGAAGAAAGAAAACATATACAAAGAGAGCCAATAATGAAATAAATAAATAGAATAAATATTAATCGACTCGAAGTTGCAATATAATCATATGTGTATTCCTGGATGGCCCATATTATTTTCTTGTACAGTACATCAGCAGCACAGGCAAATACATATACAGAAAGAAAAAAACACTGATGAAAAAACAGGATATATATGGAATAATTAAATCTTAATTATCATGTTTCAATAATAATTTAATTAAGGGCATTCAATATAATCCTCATCATCGCTGTGATGATTATAATTATTACTACCAGGAAAAGACGTAGGGTCGTAACTTAGAGGACTGAGCTCGAGGTGACACCGTGAAGGCCCTGAACGCGGCACAGACCCTTTATGAAGTTGGCCTCCGAATCTGCTTCTCAAGTTGAAGTTCTTTATGATTCTCACACACTCGCTTCTTGAAACCATACTCAAAACTATCATAACTGCCACAAACACACACATTGTATGAAACTTCATCGAACCAGATCTTCCAAAACCCCACATGGCTTCTTCTTGCTTCCCCAGAAACCCTAATTATATAGTTAACTCTGATTAATCTGCTGTGTTCAGAAAGGAGAGTTGATGTATTAGTATTTATATGCGTAGTTATAGAGAAGAAGAATAATGGAGGGCGTTGAAATAATGGTTCCGCTATGAACTGGGAGATATGTGTGTGTGTGTCTTGACGAGAGTTTTGTTTAGGTTTAAAGCTGATGTTTTTTCTATATGGGAATGAATATTTTTGGTTTTGGTTATGGATTGACTTTGAATCAAGAGTGCTTTGAATTTTGAAATTCTTGCTTATGTGTTGACATTTTGGTTACAGCAGCCACTTTAGAAAAGAAAACAGAATGACATAATGGGTGGGGGGGGACTTCTGGAAATTTTGTTGCTTGAGCTGTCATTAGTTATTATTAATTAGTTATTATATCGCCCATGAAATAAAGTAGTTAGGCATCTGCCCCTGAATAAGTTCAAAATCCATCTTTTCTGTGTTTATTTTGATATTTTGTCGTGCTGTGTGTATATGTAGATATATTTTAATAGATTCTACACAATTTATTTGGCGTGAATTTTTTATTATATGCAAAATATTTGAAAATTTGTATGTTTTAAATATTTTTATGGTTTATTGGTTACCATATACGTGCTTTTTAATATATATATATATATTCAAATATATTAAATAAATAATTTGACTTTCATTCAATTAGGCCAGACCATTTGACCGTAGCTTGGTTGGGATGATTTTCTTAAAACGTTAAAGAAATTATTTTTATGCGAGATAGATTGAAAGAACCAAAATTTAAGGTTTAGGGTAATGAATATTTCTTTTTGGATCTCACCTAATGTTCCCCCAAAAAGAGAAGGGTGATAAAGCAAGTAGAATTTTGGTGTGATCTCTTGAGCTCCCTTTCCATACAAGACATTATTTTCCTGCGTCCCATATAAGATGTGAGGGGCAGAGTTAATTAATTAATTACATAGACTATTATAATACATTACTTAATTTTTTTGCCAGGTTATGTCGTGTAATTAGTTATAGATTGTATTCCTCCGATCCTTAATATAAGACCTATTTGACTAATTTGATTAGATTAAGAAAGTTAGGTAAGTTAGTTAATTATAAGAAATACTACCTCCGGTCCTAATTATAAGACCCAGTTGACTTATTTGAAAAGATTAAGGAAGTAAGTTAAGTTAGTTATTTGTAATAAATAAGTGTTATCATTCCTAAAATATCTTTGCTAATTAAGTGTATTGGCTAGAACTATCATTATTAGAAGGACTATCTTGGAAAAAAATGCATAAATATGATAGATAAAATGGATTGGGGTCTTATAATTAGGACCAAACAAAAAGTCAAACGGGGTCTTATATTAAGGACCGGAGGTAGTATGATTTTTTTTTTCTAAAATACCATAACCATCTTCCTCAGTATCCTCCCTCCCTCTTCTACTTGATTATAGTTGAGAGAGTATCCATAGGGTAATTTAGAAAAAATTGATAATATGATAAATAGATCTTATATTTAGGACCAAAATCAACTCAATAATTATATTAGAACCGGCGGAGTATTTAAATATGGCCTCTAGTATTATGTGTTGCGACTTGTGAGTGAATGTCCTTTGTTTGATCATAAAAAAGAAAAAAGAAAAAAGAACGAAAAATTGAGATTGAGAAGCCACATTACTTTAAGGATTATGGGTCCGTTTGGATCAGCGATTGGAAAAGCAGCTTATAGAAAAAGTAGCTTACGGAAAAGTGAAGTTGGTAAAAGTTAAATTGGATAAGCTGAATTGTGTTTGGATTGGAGTTCAGACAAGCTAGTTTACAAAAATGAGATTGGAAAAAGCTTGTTTGGATTATAGTTGAGTAAAAGTAATTTTGGCTGAAAAATTACCAAAATGGGCATGGGTTTTAATAAATAATGAAACATGATTAAAAAAATAATTTCACATAATACAATGAAATTAAAATAATTTAATATGGAGAAGTCATAAAAAATATTTTAAATATAAAGTGAAACATGAAAAAATAAAAGTATATTTTTAGGAGCATATTTAAAAATAAAAATATATTTCTAACTTATTCATTACTTTCAACTAATTTTAATTGATTTTTTATTATCTACAAATTAGTTATTTGAGGCTTATAATAAGAACCAAAAGAAGTAATAAATTTCTTAACTTTCTCTCTCTCCATATTTCAAAAGCCATAAGCCATAAACTATAAGTCATAAGCTGTTAATTTTAGCTTATAGCTTATTGTAGCTTTTCAGACAAAAGCCCGATTGCAAAAAAGCTGATCCAAACAGACCCTACTTTTGTCAATCGAGCTTATAGAGCTTATAGAGCTTATAAGCTACTTATAAGCTTCAAATAAGTGTTGCCAAACAGGCACTATGAAAATTGTTTTATTAGGTAGTTTGGAATTTTGTTTTGCTTTAGGTGGCTTTCATAAAGCGAGGCTAATGAGTAATAATGAACAAAAAGTATAGTTTAGTCCAAACATAAAACAATTTGATAATAAAATAGTTATGATAGATATATCTAATTCTTTATCAAGAATAACAAAAAAAAAAAAAATTCCTTTCGCAGTGTCACTGCGACTGCCGGTCAATTGATTAAGTTTAATAGATTATATATATAATAAAATTAAATTACGTGTACATAAAAATTAGAGTAAAATACTCTGATACTTCTCATTTATTTTGAAAACGTATTTGGACTTCTTTTAAAATTAAAATATATGTTACACAAACTTTTTTAATATATTTGGAATTCTATTTCCATCCATTCCAATGTTAGTTTATTGTTAATTTTACCTCTCGAACTTTTATGTTGACTAACATATCCCTCATAAACATATGAATTATCTAAACATTTATACTTATTTTCATGCCAAACATTTATACATGGTAAAAAAACTACTTTTTAGTACAACCAAAAATTATTTTAATACACCTATTTTCAAACCTTCTAATATGTCATAAAATTTATTAATTTTGATTATATTATAAAATTTTATAATTTTAATTTTTCACCACATCAATTCAAATCTATTTATGGCTAAAAAAAATTTTAAACGTATTTTTTTATCATATGATATAAATAACGTAAATTTGAGTGATTATATGAATAATTTAAATTTAATATTTTTTACAAATATTTATAGACATATTTAGTTAATTATGAATTTATTTAAAATATTAATCAAATTTATTTGGTCTACATTAATTACGTTATTTAAGTTTCTGTCCCAAAAAAATTAAACAAATATATTTTTTAAAAATAAAAATAAAAATAAAATTAAGGGAAAAAACTTTGAAATATTCTTCAAAATAATTCTAGTCAAAATTAGGGATTTAGTATGATGAAGGGTAAAATGGTAAAAAAAATTTTTAATATAAATTTTAATAAAAATGCATCTTTTTAGAATTTTTTTAACGAAGTTAATCATTGGAGCTTAACTATATGTTTTTTAAATAGAGAGAATGTTCTTATAATTAAGTAAAAATGTAAAAGACGTTAGAATATTTTATTCTAAAAATTAAAAAAGAGAAACGATTCAACAATGTAAAGAAGAATAATTTAAAATTTAAAAAAATAAAAGAATTACAAAAGCAGACCATCAGAAATTAAAATCTAAAGAACTAGAAGATTGCAAAAAAGTAGAAGAAATTTGGTAAAAAATTCCTGTTTAAAAATTTAACTGGCTAAAGAGACCTAAATTTGAATGAGTATAACATATTTTTTCTTATGTGCAGCCTATAATCAATGATATGTAACAATTATTAATACATAAGTCATTTACACATATCAGAAGATATGTTACACTCACGAATTATATTAAAATCTCAAAAAAAAAATTCACAAAAAATTTCATAACAACAGCACTTTTTAATAATCATTTTTCTTCTCTTGGTACCTTACAATAATTCTTCCTTAGATCTTACATTAGAAAATAAAAATTAATATTAAGTCTAATAATTTTCTCTCATTTTTAATTAGATTTTTGTTTTTCTGGATGCTATTGGGTCCATTGTTTTCTCAATTGCAGGCTCGTATTTTAGGAACGAATTAGATGCCGTGTTCTTATTCTTTCGGCCTTTGAACAACTTTTCAGAAGAATCTTTCGCCGGGTTTCCCCGCCGAGCTTGAGCTGCGATCGGCAGGTTTTTCACTTTCCGGCTTCTTCTCCGTCGAATTCAGCCATTGCCTTGAGGTTCTCCTCCCTCTGGATGATTCTCTCTTCTCTGGTCTCCTCGTCGCGGTTGCTGGCCCCCGCGATTCCGGTGGTGACACTGCGTCATAGAACTCCATTTCCCCTCCGGTTGCTTTTCTCTTTCATCTCCGCATTTTTCTTTTCATATTCTCCAATGTAATTATACTTTTCTTCTATGATCAGGACTGCAATTTGCGCTCTAGTCAATTTTACGTGCTTAGTTCTGTTAAATTTTGAATTCGTGGTTTCATTATTCGCTGGTTTGCCTGTTTTTGACGCGTGTTAGGTGAAAAAAAACCACAAATTAGAGTCATTTATAGGTAACGGAGTCAAACTTTTGATTAATCTTGAAGCCTGCAATTGTTTTATCCTGTTGTCGTGTTATTAGAATTATGCAGCTATATGGTTTTAGGCAAATTATTTTAGCTCCAAAAAGTGGAAAATGATTATTCCGTTATTTTTTTGTATGCCCATTGAGTTAGCACATGGAATTACTCTTTCCCTAATTCTTTTTAACACATAGTGTTGTAGGAAGTGTCTTCTGTAGAAAAATTGAGCAAGCCCCTCTGGAAGTATTTGGCATTCTTCCTTTACAATGTAACGAGAATTGAATATACACATTGGAGTTACTATTCTCTTGAAAGTAATTTTTAAATGCCAATAGAATAGAAAGGAAAATGCACCAAGAGAAAGGGTATCCAAATAATGATATATTGAGAACAGGAGGAAACCACTGAGTCTTGAGGTGTCAAGAGTTGGGTAAAAATTAGGCCTTGGATGCACTGTTGACATTGAAAAGATATAGAAGATGAAAAAGAAAAAGAGAGAGGAAAATTTAGTCTGACACCCGGGGGACTCGGGAAAGAAATTCCTCTTTTCTTTTTCCTTTTGTTTCACTCATATTTTAGACAGAAAATAGTCCAATTGGCTGGGGAGGAGAATTCGAAAATGGGAGGCTAAAACATGGATAAGATAGTTAAAATGGGGATAGATGGATGGATGAGTGGATATTAATTTTTCTTTCCTGTGTGCTTGGTAGAGAGGTGGAAAGAGATTATTGAAAATAAATTTCCTTTATGCCCTTGTTTTAGTAAAAGAATAGAAGAAGTAAAGTTGCTATATTTTTAATAGCATGATAAAATCATTGCAATCAAGTTCTTGTTAATGGCTGAACGGCAAATAGTAACCATTACATTTTTATTCCGTCTTTTTAATTGATTAGTTTCCCCCTCCCTTCTTTCCCCCAAACCTTTCATTTTCACTCCTCTCACGTTTATGTCTACTAAGCATTCCTTAAATGCATCTGCTTCGGGTAACTAAGTTGGGTTTCCTTGGTTTATGTTTGTAATGAATAAACAATTTTTTGAAACCTTTCTAATGCTTATATCATACAAAATTTGTTACAGCTCCTCACTTAATTTTCCTGGCCAATCTAAAATCAGGCAAGTTCCTTTGATCAATTCACTATTTTCTGAATTGTAATTCAAAATAAAAATGTAAATGACTAATTTAGTGATTTTTCAAAATTTATTTATTGAAGACTGTTAATAATTTTTTTATCATCTTTTGAGAGACAACATAGAAAGGAAGGGGGAACCTTGTCAGCTTTTCTCTGTTTTCTATGTATAGTAACATATCTTGAAAACTGAACAAAAACTGTTATGTCAAACAAGTTTTTTTGTTTGTAAAAACATGAAAAATGTTTTTGGAATCATATATGAAACAGGCCCAATAGTTCTGTATGACTACAAACTCAGTTTTCACGTATTTGCTGGCCAACTCATTTCAGTCATGCACAACTGCAGGAATGTTGTTAAAATGTCTTCCACTGGCGTCACAAGCTCTACAACAACACCCAAGTCCTTTGCAATTAAGCCTCCCATGCATCCCACTTATGACTTGAAGAACATAATCAAGTTAGCACTTGCAGAGGATGCTGGTGATAAAGGTTTGTGTTTAACTTTTTTCCTGAGGGTCTTGCATAAACTTGTTTCCTGTTCTGGAGCACAATTTATAATAATACATACATTGATGAGTCACTATCTGCTTTGTTTCTTATAATTTACCACTGTATTGTTTTGTAATATTGTTGGGATTCTCTAAAAAGCAATATGGATTTTTACTGTCTTATTTGGTATTAGTAAATTGTAAATGTATAATACTAGCCCTGGTGAGTCCCGGGACCCAACTCATCTAAATTTTTTTTTATTTAAAAAAAATTTGTAAATGCATAAATGGTATTGAGCACAGTGTGTTTCATTTGTAGGTGACGTGACATGCTTGGCCACCATTCCTTATAACATGGAAGTTGACGCTTATTTTTTGGCGAAGGAAGATGGCATTATTGCCGGGATTGCACTAGCAGAGATGATATTTCATGAGGTTGATCCATCTTTAAGGGTATGAAGGTAATGGCATGAGCTTACATTACGTGTTTGGTTACCATTTGGTTGATTCATTGTAGCGTTAATTTCAGGTGGAATGGTCTCAAAACGATGGAGATTATATCCATAAAGGGCTTCAGTTTGGAAAAGTTCATGGTAAGAAAATTAATGGGACAAGTAGCCACAGAAGAGCAGAAAAGAAAGAAGAGCATCAGTGGAATTTGAATAATATTCTGAGAGGCTTTTACTAATTGTCCATAATTTATGTGTAGGAAGGGCGCACAACATTGTAGTAGCTGAAAGGGTAGTGCTAAACTTTATGCAGAGGATGAGTGGCGTTGCAACTTTAACTAAGGTTTTGTTTCTATAAGTGCATTTTTTTTTTTTTATTAAGTTTTCTATGATATACCTTTTTTTTTTTAACAATTGATTGCCATGGAACCTCTTTAGTGAATTACATTAGCTGGTACTGGATTCCATTTCTAATTGCCCCTGTTGGGATATGGAAAAGTGATCATATCATTTAATAGCAATGCTTGCAATATATTCAATTGGTCAAATTAGATTAGATCTCTAGGATTTGTATGTAGCTCAGCTGCTCATGACTTTGGCGGTCCAGTTTTAAACTTTTGAGAAGGAGAGGGACCTAGGCTGTCAAGTGTCAGGATAGTCACAATTAGTTGCACTGGCTGTATCTTAGTTTATAGTCCAGCTGCCATTAAGTGATTAATTAAACATTACTTATGAGACTCTTAGTGTATAAGTAACCTGAGCATACTCTATCTAATTGTCATTAATAGACTCATCATGGTGTCTTTGTTGATCATTTGCTAATGCTAGGAAAAGAAGGCTAGCCTATTGTCGACGCTTCTTTTGCATTCTAAACTAAAGTTTTACATTACATGAAAAAAGGATATGTTTGCTGCCACACCTCACTGCTATATCGGTTTTCTAAAGGAATATCATAAACCATGTGTAATATGGGCCTTACATGTATTTTTGTAGTTAATTTAGTTATGTTTTCGCCATATATATGAAAAATCATCCATCTCAAGTAGAAAAGGATTTAAAATCTGTCATCTCACCATGCATAGGGATCAGTTTTTTTTTTTTTTTTTGGTTTGTGTTTGTTGTGTATCTGTGATGCTTTCTGACTTTCATGTTCTTTGTAGAAAATGGCAGATGCAGCTTACCCAGCATATATCTTGGAGACCAGAAAAACTGCTCCAGGTTTACGACTATTGGATAAGTGGGCGGTCTGGATCTCTTCCTTATATATATAGTTGTAGACTTATTTATTTTCTATGAAGTTCATACTTGATCAGTTTGTACGCATCTATTTTTGTAGGTATTGATTGGTGGTGGGCGTAATCATAGGATGGGTTTGTTTGATATGATAATGATAAAAGATAATCACATATCTATAGCTGGAGGTGTGACTAATGCTCTTAGAGCTGCTGACCTGTATTTAAAGGAAAGGGACCTTCAAATGCCAGTAGAGGTAGTACTCACACTGTTACTTTTACATATCTTGTATCTGCTCATTTCAAGGCTGTTGTTAGCCTGCAATGGTTGTGGATATTGTTCTGGTCTTATGTCTTGTGTCAACAACTTCAATAAACTATTTTTCTTTTGTTAATTACCAACTTCAAGTTTATGTTCTCCAAATGATGACTGTGAATGTATGTCCGTTTGGGTGCTTGTTCGCTGGCTGGCCATGCATGTGCAGGACCAAGCATTGCGGAAGCTAGGGTAGTTTTAAGGTACTTGTGTTTTTCCCAGGTTGAAACCAGGACACTTGAGGAGGTGAAAGAAGCATTGCATTATGCATCCCAAACAAAGACCTCTCTGAGCCGAATTATGTTGGATAATATGGTTGTCCCTCTAGCAAATGGGGATGTTGACATATCTATGCTTAAAGAAGCTGTACAGCTCGTCGATGGGAGATTTGAGACTGAGGTATGCAATACTAACTAATTTCCATATGATATTTCTGGTACCCATGAAGATTATTATCTTCCTTGCAGAAGTCCCCTTTTTGGCACTTGTGACTTTACCTGCTACTTCTCCATTCCTTTTGTTTTTGTTTATGTAACCATTCGCTTGAAATATGATGCTTCCTATCTTATAATAGGTCGAGGTTTAGTAAATCTTGTCTCTTTTCAGTGTAATAACTAGCCAATGTGTCTTTGTTGTGATAACAGGCATCTGGCAATGTTACTCTTGATACGGTTCATAAAATTGGGCAGTCAGGAGTAACCTACATTTCCAGGTAAAAGCACTGTCCTGCAAGTACAGCTCTGAACCTATGATATGGGAATGCATTTTTCTTCCATTTTTCCTCGAGCTATTGTGTGAAAGCACTTGACATCTCCCTCAAAATTGATTATACTAGTTGTATTATTTCTGTGCAAGATTACTATAATCACTTACCTAATGATTCTGTAGTGGTTCACTGACGCATTCTGTGAAAGCACTTGACATCTCACTCAAAATTGATACTGAGCTGGCACTTAAAGTTGGAAGGCGCACCGGAAGAGCCTAGTTGTGCGCTAAATAGCAGATTCTCTTTAATAAATAACGTATGTTTCTATCCTCTTGATGCAATAAATTGTTGCCAATTCTCGCTTTTCGGCCTTCAAATCATGTGGCTTCTTTTTGCCGATGGTGTCTAAATTTCAGCGTTATCTGTAACCTGAATATAATGTCTGTATGCTGGTCAGATCAGCATCAAAGATATATCACATGGCTGCTGGAAATTTCATCTGAGTCGTCAGGAAAACCTTGAAACCCTTTTTTTTCCTTCCATTTTTAGTAATTAGCACATATAGGATGAAGTACGGTTTTCCCATTTTATGGCTGGACCCTGGAGGGTTGGCAATCGAAGTAAACTGTTTTTTTCCCTGAGGGGCAAAGAAAACTCCCTTTCATTTTCATATTTTTATTCCAGCTTACCTGCTCGGGTCTGTTGTAGGTTAATTATTTGTAGTTTCCGACAATACTGGAAGGTAAATACTCTTCCAGTCCTTAATATAGGACCTAATTGTTAAGTTAATTTTAATTTTAACATAAGACATATTTCTCATATTTATCAGTTTTTTCTAAATTATCCCTATTGATACTCCTTCAACCATAATCAAATAGAAGAGAGATGGTAGATATTAAGAAAGATGATTATGGTGTTTTAAGAAAAACATATCATATTTCTTATAATTAACCAACTTACTTAACTTTTTTAATTTAATGAAATTAGTTAAATAAGTCTTATATTAAGGACCGGAGGAGTATTTGTTAGTCTCATCCAAGTGGAGATCAATCTGTATTTTTTATAGTTTTCCCGACATTCATTACTTTATATTAAACAAATAAAATATATGCAAATATTTTATTTTTAACAAACCAATTTATATTTTTTATTTTATTTATTCAAAATAAAATAAATAAATGATAAAGGGTGGAAAAAGAAATGAAGAAAATTGAATGGTCCAAATTGTTGCTCTAGAGGGGGCCCAAGACTAAGTTTATCTTTTATGGCAAAGTCGATTGTATTGCATATAACCACCGAGGGTTGGATTTAACAGAAATAATTAGTTCTCATAATGTAACTCAAATTCTCGTTGAGATGAATACTCACATTTAGTGCTCAGTAATACCTCAAACAGGATTACTTTTAATGAGGGGAATTATGTGCTTAGCAAAAATAAATGTATTGCATATGCCCACAGAAAAAAAAAAAAAAAAAACCGTACTGCGTGCGGAGGCTACATGACATGAACTTGTTAGCTTAATGCCAGACTTGAAATATCAATCACTTGGTTGCTCTTTTTGGTCGGCATAAGATGGAACTCCACTTACTGAAGCAAAGTCAATCCAGACCAAAAAATATAATAAAATAAAACAACTAGGAAAAAAGAGTCATTTTTCCTTCTCACTTCGATGGGGTAAGTTCAATGGAAGTGTATAGGAGCCATAATTTTCCACTTTGCCATAATTTTCCACTTTGCCCGTGATGATGATCACTTCAGTGAAATCAAAAAGTTTAAAACTCAACTGAATCTGCCTTTTTAATTTTTTAATTGTTGGCATGACATGATGACCTAATGTCAAAGGCAAGTTCATTTTTATATATGTTTTCAGTTACTAGACATGCTTTTTTGTGCCTCATTACATGAAGTCTATGGATTAAGTTGTATTATTTATAGTCTATAAGTAGTTTTTCTCTCTATAGTATAATCATTTGGCAAGTGATTCGTGAAATCCTTGATTACAGATATAACACTGAATACATACGACTCTTGTTAAAATGCATATGGCTGACAGGCACACACGTTGATAGCATTGATAGACAGACACACAAATATTAATAGTATACTGGTTCTTGTCTCAAACGTAAGAGATAAATAACTAATTTATGTATATTAAAAAAAATTAGTGAAGTTAATTATTTATAATAAATATATTTTGATTTCTCTAAAATATCCTCTTAATCATTATGCAATTGATGGAAACCCCTCGTATTTATATGCATTTTATAAGCATGATTTGGGGGGAAAAATTATAATTTTGGAAGATAAAGTGGATAAAGATCTTATATTTAAGATAAATAAATAACTTAACTAGAGTTGAAGTGAGTGTAAGATATCATACACAGTGTATACTAAGTCTTGTGTGTCTTAGGACCCGTTTCGAACAACTTATAAGTAGTTTTTTAATAGTGATTTACAAAATACGAGGCAAGTATGTGAGAAAAGTTTTGCTTTGGTTTACGTGAAACGTGCTTATAGGAGGTTTCTTAAACCCTCCTAAACAGGCCCTTAATGAAATGCTCAAAATATATGGGACAAAACCTCTTTAATACTAGTATTAACCAACAGGATTAATCCAAAGTGTGACCGTACATGAAATAAATTAAAGCAGTAGGCATCTTTAATCTGTGCAGGACCCTAGATTGATTGTTTTAAAATTGAAACCGTGAATGTGAATCATAGCCAAAAGTTGGTGAGCGTTGTTGGGCGGCTTTATGAGTGAGGTATATATTGTTGCCTCCATTTTTGGAAGGGAAATGTGCAAATTTACCTGCGCTTCAATCTTACTGTCTCACCAGAAAGTCAGAAAAAGTACAAGCACCACACACCGCCACGTATTATATTTTGTCTATTTGTGTGTGAATTGTAATTAGGGATTTAGGATGACGTAGAAGAGATTTTCTTTCATCCTATGCCCTATGTGTAGTGTGGGAAAGAGTGTGAAACAAGAGTAAAATTGATTGAATCCCCCCCCTCTCTCTCTCTATATATATATTATAATATTACATCTGTTCTTAATATAAAATCTTATTTAATTTTATTTTGATCCTAAATATAAGATTCTAATCTACTTTGTTTCTTATATATTTATACATTTTTTTCAAAGTAGTTTTTCTAACAACGGTAGTTCTAGCCAATACACTTGATTAGTAAGAATATTTTAGGAAAGACAACACCTATTTAAGATAAATAACTAACTCAACTTACTTCTTTACTCTCTTCAAATTAATCAACTAGTTCTTATAATTAGGATCAGAGGTAATATCTAATACAATAGTTAAGTATCTTGATGTTATTTAAAGAGAATTGAATTCATTTTACATGACTCCTTGGTGAATTTACTCTGGTTGCAAATAATCGTATGACATCAATTAAAAAGACATAGTTAAAATTAATTAAAAATAATTTATATAAATATATATATGTATATAAGAAATATATTCTTTCAAATATACTCCTATTTATAAAGAGTGTGAGTGAGAGAGAATGGTAAAAAAAAAAATAGATGAGAAAGATATGTAGTTAATTAAGGATAAAAATGAAAAAAGTACACTAAAATTTTAGATATCTTAAGTGTAATTTTTTTAAAAAAAGACCAATTTATAAAAAAATATAATTTATAAATGGATCGGAAGAAGCATACGTTTATGTATTATTAACCATGTAATTAGATGGCAAAAAAATTAACAATTAGAATGAGAAAATAATAAGTCATAAAATAATATATTAAAAATAAACAAGACCTAAAAAAATGTTCATGACTTATGAATAATATAATTTTTTAATAGATTTTATACTATATATTGATTTTTATAATTATTAAACAAATGCATATAAGGTAAGGTTCTTAATCTTTCTCACTCCAACCCTGTACTTCTTACACCCTGTATAATTTTGCTTATGTTCTTATTACAATATTTTTACACAAATTTCAACTGAACTTAAACGCTAAAAAGATTAGTATAATTATCATAAAGACTTCAATAATTAGAGAGGAAGGGAGAAAAAGCAGAACCAAAGCTTACACAAGACAAGCAGATAAAAACAAGGCTTGCTAGTTGTTGAAAGTTATAACTAGGGGGAGGTTGGCAAAATTAAACCAAGTTGGGTTGGGTCCACAAGTTAATGATAGAATTTACTATTTGATTGTATTACTGCTCACGGATCAAATGACAGTAAATTTTTATTAGTAATATATTTTATTTTTATATATAAGTAATTAAAGTTAAACATATATGATTAAAGTTAAATCATTTTGCATAGTTGACTGTTCACTTGTTAACGGAGGAGGAAAACGGTAATTCTACAGTGAATTTGATTTTAATTTGACTTTAAATCGAAAAGGCACCTCAGGAAAAAAAAAATTCAGGAAGTTGCCGAAAGTGAAACAAACAAGAAAATGGAAGCAAAAATGAATTTGAAACCGTCAATGATTTAATATAATAAATCACATGACACTATAGTCGTAAGAAATTTGATGTTTGATGGGTTTCAGTTTGATTTTTATTGGCTTTTTCCCCTTATATATACATACATATATATATATCCTAATCGTTGATAAAATAGCCTAATTGACTACTAAAAAGGAGCTGCCAAACATTTTAAGAAAGCAAAAATGCTTTAATTATTATTATTAATCCAGCTCTAATATGTCCATAATCCTCATCTAACTATCCCCATAATTCCCTTGATAAATCATCTTTTCCATTTGTCCCTCTCCTTCAAGTTTCAACGATAAAAGCATATCGAGACTAGTGAATTTTGACGTTACATTAGCATTAGCATGGCCTCTATATGATTATGATATTTACCCACTAATTATAATTTTAATTGTTATGACAAAAGGTTTAAGAGAATTGTGCCTTAAAGCTCATAGGGTCAACATAAATATCATGCCTCAAAACCATTTACAGAGATACTTACATATAATATTATTTTAATTCTCATTATAAGTTACTAATAAATGGAGTATTAATTACATTTTTTAAGATCGTCTCTACTTAAAGTTTGATGCAATTTTTTTTTCTTTCACATTTCAGTATATAGTTCATGATTTTCAATAGGGATAATTTGCAAACACTTTCATTTCCAAACATATTTAATAACTTCATCACCTTTCATTGATTCTGATGAAGTGGTTGAAGATGCCTTAGAATTTTACATTTACATAAGGCATTTGAGCCATCATTCTTATAAAGCTTGAGTAATATCTTCACCAATAGGACTAATTAATTTGCATGGGCTACCCACTAATTAATTATTGAGAAACCTTAGTGAAAGCAACATGGCATCAGAAATTAAGGATATGTCCAACCGACCATACTGTAAGGAGACATACGTGACATTCATGCACTCAGCTCAAAGACGACGTGGCCTTCTTGGCGTTGTTTGTTTGGTCAATGGCTGTTCCCAAAACGTACTACTAATTATGGTTATTAATTATCCATTTGGTTAATTAAAGGACTTAATCTTTTTTTTTTGGCCAAAAAGGACTTACTCTTTCATAACTAGCAGGTGAGGACAACTTATAATTATTACTAATTGTGTAATCACTTTATCTTCTGCTCATTGTAATGCTTTTATGAATCGGAAAGCAAATCAATTGCTTGGCAAAGGTTATTCACATTCGTCGTGGATTGTTTCTGTTAAAAATCTGAATTCTCCAAAGAGAAATTGCTAATTTTACAATATAATGATAAAATACCAACATGGCACCGATGCGTGGGCTCTATCCCTATTCTTTTTTCGTTTTGAAACAATTACAATGATGTTCAAAAAATATATATATACATATATATTTTTATACACACACTATCATAAAGTCTCAATGACATGTTAAAGATTGTTATTTTTTATTATTCTGAAACTTATTATTACAGACTGCTCAATTATTATTTGGATATCTTAGTAATTATGTTTCTTTCTTGAGATTTTGTCACAGTTCTCCCTTTTTTCTAGTTTTAAATGGTTTTGACATGGATACTTCTCTTTTCATAATAGTGGTTCTGTCCCTAATATTAGTTAATGTACAAGGACCACATGTTTATAATGGTGTACTAAGATAATCTTATATTACTATTACTATTATAGATTAGAGATTAGAGATGCCTATACAAAAAGAATACGTAAGTTGTGGGGTTTTGGGCCCTATCCTTATGCGACAATTGGCGAATTTAATATAGTACGAGGGACACTTTGAGGCTTTTAATTAAATAAATTGCCATTAAATATTAACTGAACCTATAAGCATATATGATGATTGAAAGAGTGCATATTATATATTATTTGATCGGAACCATTATAACAAATAATGCCAATTGGGAAAGTGTAAATGGCTAATAAAAAGGTGATGTAGGAGTGTATAACAGAACAAATATGTCAATTATTTGTGGGATAAATTAAATAAAAGAGTATGTGTTTGTGAGCATAATGATGCCACTGTTTGCGTGCAGGGATGACGAAACTTTATGCATTATAAAATTGCCAACCTACGTCCAATTTGAGCGCTCCAAACAAAATTCCTTCCACTTCAAAATGAGATCTCTAATTTCTTGTTTATTTTCTGCGGCTGAAATTTAAAGTGAATTTTGAATGAAGATAATCCTATTAATTTGGCCAGATTAGAGTATGAATCCTATATTTTAAATAAAATATTATTTTTATGAGGAGTCAGGTATTTATAAATGTTGGCAAATGATATAGGTATAGATTATAGGTCTGTTTGGTACAAAATATTAAAAATTAAGGGCTTAAGAATTAGAATTGGGATCGAGAAAATCTATTAAAAAAGTATTTAGTATGAAAGATTGCTTCTTATATAAAATTAGTCAAACCCATGGATGTGAGATTAGAAAATACCATGAAAGGAAATAGTATTCCTTAATCCTACCTTTATGAGTTTGTCTAATCCCATGTAACAAGCAATTGCTCATGCTTAATACTATTTTAATGATTTTTTTAATTACAATCACAATTCTTATTCTTTATTTTTAATGCTTCATACCAAACGGGATCATAAAGTGTTTATTATTGATAATATTGACTTGATTTAATTTAAGTAGCTAACCACATCTAATCAGATAAAGCCTATTGTCATTGTTGCCATGATGACACAAACAACTCTTTGGTGAAGAGAAGATTTTAGACTTAAATTTGCACAAGTTTAAGACTATGTTTGAATAGAAGGAAAATAGGAAGATATAATACCAGAAAGAAAAACTTTGAAATTTACTATTTTGGGAAATCTTTCCTCCCTAATTTTCTTGCCATTAACAGAAAGGTAAATTTGTATTTTTTTCCCAATTATTTTGAGTAAAAGAAATAAATGTTCGGTGTTCAACACATGCACATGCACCTAATTACCTTAAAGCAACCAAACCCTTTCCTCACCGTCAAGCGGCCAGAATAATAAGAGGCATATTTGCACATGTCTTGTTTCAAATATTTCTCACATTTTATGTCATTGACATTACAATGTCTAGACATTATCATTTCAATATATATATATGCGTTTCTTTTTGTTTAAAAAAAACATTTTATGTTATGATTCTGCATGTAATCCTAAATTATATCCTGACATTAAATGTTTCTGATTCAATAATATTTCAATACCGCCAAACACCACTTTTAAATTTTTCTTAAACGTGAGGCTGCTATTTCATCTCGCTATGACTATAATAATGACTGCATGAGTTATTTCTATGAGACAAAAGGTAAAGAAAATGATAAAAGTACAAATTTATCCCTGATCTTATTTTTCAGATACATCTAACACTTTAATCTTTTTAGTAATGCAATTTGATTAAGGGTAAAATTGTACTAAAAAATAAGGTCATGGGTGAAACTTTTTTTCGGTGATAGTCATGGGTGAAACTGTACAAAAAAAGACCATGAATAAAATTATATCAGTAAAAAAATTTGGATGTTGGGTGGACCTGAAAAATAAAATCAATGATAAATTTGGACCTTTACCTAGAGAAAAATAAGTTGTTGATCTCAAACCAGAGTTAATCATTTTATTATTATCTAATAAGTCATTTTATTATTTAAAAAGAATAGGATGCTATGAGCAAGTTGCTACTCTCAAACCGGGGTTAAGCAGGCTGCATGCCTGAGGATATTGACCCTTTGCTTTCTTTAATATTTTTTTCCGGCCAAACTGATATTGATACATACTGAGAAAGAGGGATTTAATTTAAACACAAAGATCAATAACATTTTATTGACTTAATTAGCTTGTGTGGAATAAGGAATAAAATACTGATAATTATTGTGTTTTTTAGAATTACTTAATCAAATAATAATAATAATAATAAGGTGGGAGATATATGAGGAGAGAGAACGAGAAGAAAAAGGAAAAGGATACTGAGGTGACGAACGGAAAAGATGAAGCAAACGGGAGTATTGTTGGTGATGCAAGTCGATTCCGGTAGAAAGGGACCCTTCGTGCTTCTTCTCTTTCTTCTTATGACTCTAATCCTTCCCAGTATTTAAACTTTCTCTTTGCTTCCATTCTTCCTTTTTCTGTTGTCTCAATGAACTTCTTCTTCATCTTATTCTTGTTCGATTGCGGATTAACGACTTAAGCTTCCAAAGCTACAGCTTCAAAGATAAGCTCATGTTCCATTGAGGGTTCTCTGTTTTTTTTTTTTTTTTTTGAGATTATGCCATGGGAGTGCTGCTTAAACAGTTAAACTCGTCTTCGAACGCATTCTGGATAATTCTGGGATCGGTCAGTCTATGAGGTCATTAACATTTGCTTACAAGTTTTGAGCTTACTTGGTTTAAGGTGATCACAGTTCTTCGTTGTTGAAATGTTCAAAATTGTTTTCTGTGTTATGTCCTTTTGGTAAGAGTTTGGTGTAGATAGTGTTAAGTGGATGCATCGTAGATTTTCGTCATATAGTTGTCGACTTATTTGGTATTATTTGATTCCAGGTGGATCTGCTTCTGTTTTTCTGAATGTCTTGGTCATCAAAATAGGAAAAGGAAAACAGAGTAAAGCAAAAAGACAAAAAAAAGCATTCGTAGCCTGATTACAACCCCTATTTCCCTCGAATTTTGTTTCAATAATTTTCTCTTCATTTTTGTATTATAATTTTAATACTTCTTAGCAATCGGCAATGCAGTTCCAGAGGAAAAATATTTGTTTCTTTTTCCTTTCTGAGCATCAAGTTGTGTACTGAAGTTAGTAGGAGGAGGAGAAGGAGAATTTTATAATATCTGTTGAGGTGCCGGTTAAATTCTTTGTTGGGACCATCATATCTTATGGGAATACCTGATAGTTCATTACTAGACCTGGTAGTAAAGATTAGGTCCTGGGTTTCTTGGCGAGGAAGTGATCTGCAGTGTTTGTCTGACCAATTCGATATGCTTAAAAGTAGCTATCAAATGTGTTGCAATTGTCATAGAAACAACAATGAAATGTTCCTCAAATACAACTGCAAAAGCTGTGGGCGTTGGTTGTGTGGGAAATGTATTGAAGGTTGTGATCTTGACAATCTTGAATCTGAGGGCAGTGCGTTGAGGAAAACAATCAGTTCTTGCAAGTTCTGTTCTGACGTTAATGAGACGTATAGCGATACCCAAGAGAGTCCAAGACAGAGTCTTGAGCCACTATCACCATGTTTCAGTATTGAAAGTGAAAGATCCTGTTCTTCCCTGAATAGTGAATCAAGTAAGAGCTATCTTCAAGCCCAAGATTATGCATATGCTCCCCAAGTCATGAGCATCGGGAGTATGGCCTTGTCTGGTTCTCCACCTCCTCAAGTAACTGCTCATCCATCTGCAAGGAGGTATTATGCTCTGTTTTTTATTAGAGAAAGTGACACAGTTGCATATATATAATGTTATATCCTTCGGAAAATCTAGTATGCATCATTAGTTTGTTTTCGGTTATGTGATACTGCAATAGGTGTAAATCACTTAATTGTCATTGGCATTATCAACTGTCTTGTTTGTGATTTCTCACTCGTACGTGGATTAACAAACGTTTTATTTAGTTATTTGTCAGCAAATCAATTTCTGAAGGCATAATTGCATAATTTGATTATTTTGTTTCATTTTTACTGAAGTCATGTGTATCAATGTAGGAATGATGAAAATGGGATAGCTGATTCTGAGAAGCATCTTTATAGCCCTTCAAGTACATATTGCCATATTCGTTCTGGTACATATTCGAGTAATGTTAGTGCTAGCCACGAGACATACAACTATAAGTCTAAGGAGCCAAATTCTATCGAGAGCCCCTCTAGGACTGGTTTTGCTTACAGCAGGGTTGGACTTCCTGTACAATGGGGGCAAGGAAGAAGCCCCATCTCTCAGTACAGTGGTTCCTTTGGTCAACAAGCTATGGAGCCTGATCAAGGGACTGAGGATGCATATAATACTGATTATTTTTCTGATGACCTGTCAATTTTCTGGAGCCAGAATGAGAATTCTCATAGGCCATTGGATTTTCAAAACAATGACCCTATCTGGTTTCCCCCTTCTCCTGATGATAATATGATAGATGACACAGAAGGAAGTATTTTTGCTTTTGATGATGAAGATGATGATATTGGTGATTCAGGTGCCTTGTTCTCATCCAGTAGCAGTCTGTCTACTATGTTTCCAGCAAAGGAAAAACATAGTGCAGAAAATAAAGAACCTTTAAAAGCTGTTATACAGGGGCATTATAGAGCTCTTGTTTCACAGCTTTTGCAAGGAGAGGGTATTGAAGTCAGTAAGGAAAGTAGTTCTAATGACTGGCTTGAGATTGTTGCAACAATAGCATGGCAGGCTGCCAACTTTGTGAGGCCAGATACCAGCAAAGGGGGTAGTATGGACCCTGGTGATTATGTGAAAGTTAAATGTATAGCATCTGGAAGTCCAAGTGAGAGGTATACTATAATTCAAATTGTGCCTGTATTTTGTATAGATTTAAGCCATTTTCCTTGAATTTTCTTTTTTGGCCAATTAACCATTAAGTCTTTTCTGATTTTGGTTTGCAGTACCTTTGTAAAGGGAGTAGTTTGTACAAAAAGTATAAAGCATAAGCGCATGACTTCACAATATAAAAGGCCTAGAATACTTCTTCTAGCTGGAGCACTGGAATATCAGAAGGCTCCAAATCAGCTGGCTTCTTTTAATACATTGTTGCAGCAGGTGACCCTATTGTGTCCTCAAGTAAAGTTAAGTTTCTTGTAGAAATATAATTTTAATTTTTAAATGCTGGCAGGAAAATCATCATATGAAGATGATTATTTCAAAAATTGAGGCTCTTCAACCAAATGTTTTGCTTGTGGAAAAAACTGTAGCTTCATGTGCCCAGGAATATCTTCTAGCAAAAGAAATTTCACTGGTGTTGAATGTTAAAAGGTCATTGCTAGAGCGTATAGCTCGTTGCAGTGGTGCGCTTATCGCTCCATCAATAGATTATTTATCAACAGCACGACTGGGGCACTGTGAACTATTCAAATTGAACAGAATGGTAGAAGATCATGAGACTTCCAATCAGTTCAACAAAAAGCCATCCAAAACCTTAATGTTTTTTGAAGGTTGTCCAAGGCGTTTGGGCTGTACGGTAACTTCAATGTTCTTTGTATTATTAGTTTTTTGAAATCATTAGTTCATTATCAAGGAACATAGGCAGTACGTTCTTCCTTTTGTTTTTGAATGAAGAGCATAATTTTGTCTTATGCGCTAATATTTCTACTTTTTCAGTAAGCTACACTTTGGTATGATGGAATGGCAGATAATTGATTTGTGAAATGGTTCCTGTCTTTGATTTTGGTTCTTATTGTAGGTCCTACTGAAGGGTGCATGTCGTGAAGAGCTAAAGAAAATTAAGCATGTGGTTCAATATGCAGTTTTTGCAGCTTATCATTTATCTCTTGAGACATCATTCCTTGCTGATGAGGGTGCCACTCTGCCTAAAATGAGATCAAAAAACTTCGTAGCCTTGACAGAGAGGGTTTCTGCTGATAATGATATATCTATATTGTCTAACAGTCAGTCAGAGGCTGATAACATGGATAGCATGAAAGAATTAACGGTTCTTGAATCAGAGATTGAAGGATTGGGATCAGAACCAGAGCATCTTGATGGCCTTAGTTCTCCTTCTCATGCGAGCACAATTGGTTATAGTGTTGGGAAGGTACTATCTAATGCAGGCCATGATGACTTGATAGGTAACCTCGCCGTAGAATCAGGTTGTTTGAATCCGTCTAATGAATCAGAGGGGGGTCCTATACTTCCTTCTTGTAGGAGAGACTGGTTGCAACTTAATATGCATAAAAGCGTTGTTCAAGAGGGGAGGCAGCATGGTGAAATTACTCAGTTGACTAAAGATGAAAATGATAAGAAATATGAAAATGATGAAAATGAATTCTCTGCTAAATACTTTTCTGCCGCTGATGGTAATCAGAGCATATTGGTGTACTTTACTAGCCACTGTGTGTCTAAGGGAATGGTCTGTGAGCATGCTAAGCTGCTTCGCATAAAGTTTTATGGCTCTGATGACAAGCCTCTTGGGAGATATCTTCGTGAGAATCTTTTTGATCAGGTAACCCCTGAGCTTCTTATTGTTTTGCTTGGTACTTGGGTTAGTCACTTGCCACGATTGGTACCAACTCTTAATATGAAAAGAAATGACTGTTCTATTTTCCCCAGACATCTCACTGTCAATCTTGTAAAGAGCGTATGGAGGCCCATGTTCTGTGTTTTATGCACCAGCAAGGAAATCTTACAATCAAGGTTAAGCACCTTTCATCGGCAAAATTACCAGGGGAAAGAGATGGCAAAATTTGGATGTGGCATCGATGCCTTAGGTGCCCTCATGTAAATGGAGTTCCACCAGCAACTCCAAGAGTGGTTATGTCAGATGCTGCCTGGGGCTTGTCTTTTGGAAAGTTCCTGGAACTTAGCTTCTCAGACCATGCAACTGCAAATCGAGTTGCAACTTGTGGTCATTCTCTGCAGAGGCACTGCCTCCGATTTTATGGGTATGGCTTTCAGATTGAGAATCTATAATTGATTATGTTTTTGTGTGAGAATTTTGTTAGTAAATGACATTTAAATTTGGTAAACATCTTGATGTATAACAGTGTTGGAAGCATGGTTGCTTTCTTCCAGTATTCCCCTTCTTATATACTCTCAGTACATCTGCCCCCATCTGTGTTGGAATTTGGCCATATGCAGGAGGAGTGGATAAGAAAGGAAGCAAGAGAGGTGCTCTTAAGAAACTATTGCTCATATTTGCTATTCTATCTTGAAACTTGAAACTTGAAAGTGACTTTAATTATATACTGTGTAGGTTGTAGGTTTTGTTATTTACTAATTTATTAAATACTTGTTCACATTAAAATTTTAATTTACTCCCTTTCTTTCACAGCTTTTGGGTAAAACGGAAACATTGTACGGGGAAATATCATATTTGCTTGAATGCATGGAGAAGAGAATATCTCTTGGTGTCGGATATGAGCTTTGTAATACCTGTGACATTCATAACCACGTGGCGGAGCTCAAAGATATGATTAAGAAGGAAAGAGATGAATATCATGTAAGCAAACTAAAAACTATATCCTTTGGCCAAGAGTTTAAAAAAAAAAAAAAAGGACAAACCTAAATTGTACACCTAATTTCTATGTATAATTTTTATATTAGCAGACATGGCCCATAGGTGCAAGTGTGCCTGCTCTTATACTTAACGGTTAACATATTCATTTCTAATGTTTCTACTTCCTCTTTTCTTTTGTTATTTGTGTGTACAGAGCCTGCTAGTATCAGAAACTACAGAAACCTCACAACCAAGGAAGATGGCTTTAGATATTCTGGAATTAAATCGCTTAAGACGTTCCCTTCTGATTGGTTCACATGTTTGGGATCACCGGCTTTGCTATTTGGACTCTTTAATTAAAAAGATTTCTGGTTCTAAGTTCAAACAAGAAAATGATGAATCTTTCGTAGAGTTATTTCGCAAGGATCACAGTTGTGACCATTGGCCCGAGCAAAGTAGCCCTTGGCCATCCAACTTGCAGGAGCATCCTGAAAGTTGTATTCTCAAACAAATGGATGAGTGTCTTGAACCATGTTCTGAAGCATGTACATCTAATAAAAATAGAGAGAATTTACTTTTAGATATTGAATTTGTTGTCAATAAAACATCTTTTGATTGTTTTCCCGCTCAGGAATCTAATCTTTCTGAGAGAATAGATTCTGCCTGGACTGGAGCTGACCAGTCTCCTTCAAAAGTCGAACCTCTTCATGCGTTTCAAGCAGATGATCTGCAGGCTGGCTGTGCCAGGCGGTCTAATTTAAATGATACTCATCCTTTTAGAAGGTTGATCCAACCAGTGAGAGTTCATTCTTTTGATTCAGCATTAAGAGTTCGAGAAAGAAGCAGGCAAGCCTTGCCCCCCTCATTACAGTTTTCAACAGTTAGATCTTTTCATGCTTATGGTGACTACATGAATATGGTTAGAGATCCTGTATCTAATCCATTACAGGCTCACTTTCAATTGTCACCTTGGGAGGTTCAGAAGCTAAACCTAATGCTGAACGCCAGACCACTATTCATCTCCGCTGCGTCTCATGTGGCTGAAGGTGTTCGGTTGCTGCTTCCCCAAACACGTCATGGTCATAGAGTTATTGCTGTTTATGATGACGATTACTCTAGCATAATATCTTATGCCCTTAGTTCTAAGGAATACGAAGATGGGGTTGTGCATAAGTTGGATCCTCGTGATGGAAGCTTGGTTATGCATGAGAGAAGCAAACAACATTCAGCTTCTTCTTCCTGTTCATCACATCAATCTGTTGGTCTTTCAGACTTAGAGTATATTCATTATGGTGGATATAGGTCAGAAGATGCTCCATCATCTGTTGCTTCTCTTCTAATGGACTCCAAGAAATCTTTACACTTGCGAATTTCCTTTGGTGATGATTCTATGGGTGCTGGTGGGAAAGTGAATTTTTCTGTCACTTGTTATTATGCAAAGCAGTTTGATTTACTTAGAAAATTGTGCTTCCCTGATGAAGTTGATTTTATACGTTCCTTGAGCCGCTGCCATAGATGGAACGCACAAGGAGGGAAAAGCAACGTATATTTTGCTAAGTCTTTGGATGATAGGTTTATCATTAAACAGGTTAAAAAGACAGAACTGGATTCCTTTGAAGAATTTGCTCCTCAATACTTTACATACCTGATGGATTCCCTTAAGTCAGGAAGCCCTACATGCCTAGCCAAAATTCTTGGTATTTATCAGGTTAGTTTTCATTCTAGGGTGGTGCATGCATGCATCATCAAGCCCAATATTTCTTTTTTTGTTTTTTCGTTGGCTAACAACTCAACATTGTGATATTGATGTTACTTTTATATGTATAATCTTGATCGTGTTTGGTGGTGGTGGCAGGTTATTGTCAAATACCCAAAAGGTGGGAAGGAAACAAAAATAGATCTGATGCTAATGGAGAATATCTTCTACAAGAGAAATATATCTAGAGTATATGATCTTAAGGGCTCAAAAAGATCTAGGTACAATTCAGAAACAAGTGGGACAATGTTAGACTTGAATTTGTTAGAAGCATTGAGAACGAAACCCATATTTCTTGGGAGCATGGCGAAGAGACGTCTTGAGAGAGCTGTATGGAATGACACAGCCTTTTTGGGGGTGAGCTTCATTTTGTTTTCTGGTTTCCAAATCAACTCTAAATTCGTGGCTGCTTAATTTTAGTGTATATACCCGAAATTATTTAGAATTTGAAGGTTCTCATGCGGTAGACAAAGGCATAATAGGTTGCATTAACATATAATGGTTTCTCACTCTGTGGTTTCTGAAAATTTGTTCCTTATTTTGTGCCCATCCTATTGGTTCATATCAAGCCTAACTTTACTGGTTAGATATATCATCCCTTATGATTCTTATATTCCACGTAGTTGCAGTAAATGGTATCTTGACAATTGTGCTGCCAAACCACTTTGGGGAAAGAGATTTTAACAGCCACTTTTTAATAGGTTCTTAAGCAAGACCAAGCCAATTATAGAGAGTTACTACGCATGTCAATATGGTGGCAACACTGAAAAATATGCTTGACATGCATATTGTCTGCATGTAACGATTTCTTTTTTCTTTCTTCTATTCCATTATGTATATTAAACGAGTTCTTTTCGCTAATAGCCGTATAGTCTAGTGGTATGAAAGCTTATTCGTAAGTAAGGAGTTGCGGTTTTGGTTGTCAATTATAACATTAGGCTTTTAGTGCATGCCCCTCTAATTCAAAGACGAGCTCTTCCCAGATTTTAGTTAAGGTTGTTACTGACATTGTCGCATGATTGAGCAGTCAGTGGACGTGATGGATTACTCGTTGCTGGTAGGGGTGGATGATGAGAGGAAGGAGCTGGTGTTGGGGATAATTGATTTCATGAGGCAGTACACATGGGACAAGCATTTGGAGACATGGGTTAAGGCCTCTGGGATATTTGGTGGTCCTAAGGATGATTCTCCCACTGTAGTTTCTCCTAAACTCTACAAGAAGAGATTCCGGAAGGCCATGACTGCCTACTTTCTCACTCTTCCTGATCAGTTGTCGTCCTCAGGGTAATGTATCATAATTGATTTTCTGAGTTGTGTGGTGATTCGTCAATAAAAATATCGGTGTTGGTGGGGGCAATTGTACATACATCCATGGGGAAACTTGATGGTGATAAGTGTAGACCTTTAATTTTTGTATATAAAGGGGAAAATAATAACCTTGATCAGAGCTTGGCACCAAAATTGTTCAACATAATTGTTCATTTATCTTAGTGTTAAATGGATAATTTTTCCTAGAAGTTATTTGCCAAGTAGAATTGGTATTTTTAGTAATATTTGACTAACGTTGACTATTGGTTGAACATTTTTAAGAGTTAAGAGGGCAATTTAATTTTAAGCTGAAAGTTTGTCCGAAAGAGTGATTAGCATCCTAAACTTTTGACGTGAGAGAGAATGCCAATACCTCATTTTTATAGGCCAAGAAATGAAAAATATCTATGATCCTATATTTATCTTACAATCACTTTAAAAAAAATTCAGGGAATTAAAGAATTTAGTAAACTTAGTTAATAACATTAAATTCATTGGAAAAGCGCATTATTTTTTTTCAAGATTATCCTTAAATTCGTTAGAACCCCACTTTCTTAATCTCTTTCCACCTAATTATTAAAATATGAAATAATTAAGGATATTTTTGTTATAAAAAAAACAGTTGATACAGTAGATAATATAACAAGTGCCTTATAGAAAAAATCAAGACGATTATCGCAAAAATGCTTTTGGGGAAAAAAAATAACTTTAGGGAGAGTTACTTTTAAAGCTCAAATTGTTATTAATGTAATGTTGAGGCAGATTTTGATGTGGAACGGAAATTATCACCCATGATTCCTAGTTCTCTTGATTCCATTGGACTTTGACTAAGCTTAATCCATGATGCAGTTGTTGGATTGTTTTGACATTGAGCCTCCAATAAGGAAAATTCTAGCACGTTTATGCACTTTTACACCTGCTTTTTGGTTTTGGATTTTGCACACTTAAAAGCGAGGGCAATTTTGGTTTTTCAAACAGGTCTTCAGCTTTCCTATGACATGCGCTTATGTGTTCTACACTCATTTCTAATTTCAACTCCACTTGAGCCACATATTTCTTAATCTACCTGTTGTTAGAATCAAAAACCAATATGATTTAATCACTAACAGTGTCTCGAATATGATTATCTTTAAAAGGATGATATCTGCTCAGAAAAAAAAAAACGATTTGATTTCTTTTTTAATGGACCACGAAGACTACACAATAAATAATAATTGCTCCTTTGAGTCTGATTTATGAGAGCCTATTCATTGATCTTTAATTTTTTTTTAAAAAAACTAATTTTCTTACTAGCTCGTGTATTTAGAGTCGGAAAAATATGAATTTGGAATGAATGTTATATTTTTTTATATAGATGTTACTGATCTCATTAAACTGTGTGTTGTGTGTGAAATTCATGAGATTGAAATAGACTTTTTAAAACTTACACTTATCAAACAGACCAGCAGAGTTAGCTGCAAATTAAAGGAACGCAAAGCATGATGAGCAGTTTAATAGTTAATACTCCTCCAATCCTCAATATAAGACCTATTTAACTAATTTAATTAGATTACGGAAGTTAGGTAAGTTAGTTAATTATAAGAAATATAACATGTTTTTCCTAAAACACCATAATCATCTTTCTTAATATCTTCCCTCCATCTTCTAACTGATTATGGTTGATGGAGTATCTATAAGGGTAATTTAAAAAATTGATAAATATAAAAATAGGTCTTATATTTAGGACCAAAATCAACTTAATAATTAGGTTCTATATTAAAACCGGATGAGTACTATATATCTATTCATTCCTGAAAATGCTTGTTCTTTACAGTAACCAAACAAATAGCTTCTATAATTATTGAATTAGTCGTTAACTTTTCTGCACCGTGAAGTTTATATTCAAGTAGCCATCAAATTATAGGCAGAGTTACAAACCTAATATAATGTAGCATCAACCTTATTCAAGACAAAACTCTTAGATTGGCCGTGATAAGTAGCTAGCTTTTAAATTTGGTGCTCCATATATAATATTTCTTCCAATTTAATCCCTCAATCATTGACATGTTTTTAACTTTTTGTTCCATTTTCATCCTTTTCAACAGAAAACCTAACACGTCGTTGACTTAACCCTTTTCTGATGAAAATGCGATGAGGGAACGCTATATTATTGCAAGACGTTCAATGATTGATTGAGGGATTAGATTGTAAGAAACTATGTATGAAAGACCAAATTTAAAAATTCACCTATATATCTATCAAGACTAAAATATTATATTTCAGATGACCCCCCTTGACCGGCTTTCCTTGTCGGGTAGTGTTTTGGCTTCGTGCGGAAAACTAGAGAAATATGATCAAGAAGCCACAACTATTTCACTGCTTCCTTTGCTGATCGGCACGAAACTCACCCTCCTCTGTGAAAAAAAAAATTAAAAAACAAAAAAATAGTTAAGCCCATTTACATTGGAACATTTTAAATTTGATAACTTCAAATTTAATATGTATAAAAAAAACTATATCATGGGAGAACTGCAATAAGATCTCAAGGGAAAAAAATATTAACAAAAAAAGTCCTATAATAACTAAGCAGCTTAAAATGATACTCCTTTAGTTCTATTTATAAGGCACTTTCAATATATTTTACACAAACCAAGAAAAATCTTAAACTGTATTAACTCTTCATTAAAATAACAACCTTCTAACTTTACCTTTATTTAGCATATACACCTTTCAAAAAAAAAAAAACTATCTACACTATAACAAATTAAGGACAAAATAGTATATTCGTACTAAAAATTTGATCAAGTGACTTATAAATAGGATAAAAAAACTTATTCTCTCTCTGCCTTGTAAATAGAACTAGAAGAGTAAGTTTAGAATAGGAAATGACAACAGATTTCAGCTGTGCACTTGTCATTTGGACTTTTTAGTAAATATTTTTCTTATTTGAGAGCTCATATAGGAATTCTCCCTACTGTAATTCAATATTCTAAGTATCTTATTCCTCCTTGTGGCTCCATCTTGTCCCTGTGTTTTGAAAATAATGGATGTTCATACACGCACATATATAATATGAACGTGCTTTTCATTGATCATTATCAACAAGTCACGGACTCACCTTACCACCGGATTCTAAGGTATTATGAAAGGGATGTACCAAAAAAACTATGCTAGCTTCTCACTTCACAAGCGAACACAAAGATATTAATTACTAAAAAAAATCATTAAAGTAAAATATAAAAAATTAAACAAAAGTACACGGAATCACTGTATTAATTAGGAAAAATAAAAAAATCGTATCCTAAATATTTACCAAAAATATAATATATCCTAAATAAACCGGCAGTTCAAGTCATATATCGAGCCATTTGATCAATCAAACCCCAAGCAGCAGTAAGTCACAACAGCAAAGGACAATTTAATTTCTTTAAGTTTTAATGAGTTGAATAATATAACTATTAACGAGCACATTATTAACACATTATGAATAACATGAGTCCCTATATATTTTATTTTGATATTTATAAATTTAGAAAAAGACAAAAGAAAACTCGAAATCTGCACTCAGTCGAAAATGGAGTGTTTAGAGCAATGAAAGAGGCTGAAGATTAACTTTTAGGAGACACTAAAATTGAGATCCTTTAAACATGTCAAAACTTTTTGCTTCACACATTGTCTTACTTCAGATTATTAACCTCTTTCCTTTTACTGTACTTGCAAAAGTTCTAGGAGTCAACACAAACACAAAAATGCTATAAGCATCAAAAGAAGGAGACAAGACAGAATCAGAAACAGAAACAGAAACAATATCCAAAACATTTTATGTATCTTACTCATGAAACATACCTCACGTGCCTTTGTACTAGTCTCTGCTTCTTTGCTGCTATTACTACCAGTTTTCTCCATGCAAAGACTCATAATCTTTTGTGCTGCTTCTGCTTCATCTTTGGCTTCTCTTACAAGCTTCTCAACTTCAGTCTTACGAAGCCTCATCTTCAACCTCACGCCACCGCCGTTAACGTCCTTCTCGGCAACATCATTCACGTTCATCTTGCTTTGTTTTATAATGGACAGATCTGACACAGACCTCCTAGCCAGCATGAGGCTCTCGAGGCGATCCTTGGCGCTCATGTTGATCTCAGAACGAACTCTTCTTGGAACAGTCACAGTGTCTTTGGGAAGCTCCACAAGGAAATACAGTCTCTTGGGCAACAAATGTTTGTGGGGTTCCAAAGGCTTGGCTCTGATACCATAATGTTTCACTGCTTCAGAGTCTAGCAGAACCAGGCCAGGATGGTCCTTGAGAACATCACCAGCCTTCAATGGAGTCTTGAGCTTGAAGGTTTCTCCATCGATTTTCATTACCTTAGTGGTTTTTTTGCCTCCTAAGGTATTGCCCATAGTTAGGGTTTGAAGGTCAAAGAAACGAAGCAGGATCAAGTGGGGATGGTGGGTGTGAGAGAGAGAGGATCACAACGTTGTTTTATGGGTGGTTGATGGGGTAGGGTGTGAATTTGGTCAGCAAAGAAGGCAAAGTTTGAAAATTAGACAAGTGGCTGACAAAAAAGTGAATCAGTGAGTGATTGTCATAATGTTGTTTGATTAAAAAATGACTGCGAATTAATTAATGATGTACTTAACTTAACCTTAATGTATAGAGTAGTTATGTTTTGATTTGATCAGTTAATATGACTATTTTTTAATTATTTAATTCACTAATCAAAACGGGTCTCCCCATTACTGTGATCGAATTAATTAAAGACCGCTTAACCTTAACATAGAGTAAAAAAAAAATATTATTCAAGGGAATTCGTCACTAACTCAGCAAGCCAACTCTTTTTGACAAGCTATTAGATTCTTTTAATAATATATTCTTATATTTATACATTCAAACAAAGTAAGTGACACAGAAGAATATATATGGTACATGTTTGTGGAACTCATATTTAATCATTGCATACACTTGTGATCTTTTTAGCTCTATATATCCTTCTCTAATAATAATGCATCCAAATATACTACCTCCAATTCTATTTATAAGACCTCTTTTGTAGACTATAAACGAGATTTTATAAATAGGACCAGAGGTAATACACAAGGCTCTAATGAAATCGTTTTTCTTTTTTAATGCTTATAATTTAGAGAGAGAGAGGGAGAGAATATATGTGTGTTGGGACTTGGGAGAGATGGCAGAGTCAACAACTGGAAAAAGCAAGGGAGAAAACACAGCAGAAAACAGAAAACAAGAAAGCACAGATCGCAATCTGGAGAGGAAAGAGAGATTAAATAATGTGAATGTGTAAGAGGAAGAGACATTTGGTAGGAGAAGGAGATCAAGTATGTTGGGATTTTTGTTAATTCAACGGTAGGACCCAATCCTTGTAAAGCATCCACCAACCACAAAAAGCCAACCATCTTCTGATGTGACTCAGGCTTCCTCTTAACGGTAATCGCGGCGCACAATTATTCAACCCTGCATATTTATTAATTCATCCATTTAACTCCTTTCTTCCATGTGGCCTTCTCTTTTAAACACACACACACACATGTTATCTGGATTTTGGTGTACATGTACTTTTCTACGTAGGACTTTAATTTGAACAAATAAATGAAGATTGATGATTTAGTTATTACCCAACTAATACGTCAAAAAGAGTGTGGGTTTTAATAAACTAGCATCAGGTTAAGGCCAAGCCCAGCCCTACCCTGTCCCCGAGTATACACTTTTTTGAAAAAAGAATTGCTGTATAGTATTACTTTTTCTTGATATTTTTCATGCATATATAATATATTGTTTATATGATCATCATGGATTAATTTCTCACAAATGATTTAAAAATGAACAAAAAATTACATGTAGTGAGCCTTTGCCATGGAGCCTTTAATATGTGTGCGTGTGCATGCAAAGGGTCAAAGTCAAAATGATAATACAGGCCACAGCAGCAATAATATTAATAGGCATTCAAAAAGCGCTAATAAAACGAGGGTGCATGGAGGAATAAGAAAATACTTGTTGGCAATGGTCTTATTCGTACAAATTCTCTTGTAAACAGAACATGGTTGGGTTTCACTTCTAATTTTATATTGTTAGCGTCTACTAGTATAATTTTTTTTCCAGAATAAACTTGTTGGCCGCTTCAAAATGAACTACTGATGTAGTGTTAAGAGGTGTTTAGTAATCCATAAAAACACTTAAAAAATTGTTTTTACACAAATCAGAAAAAAACTCTTCTCATATTTTTATCTGTATCATAAAATCACTTCTAAAAAACTAATCCAAACACTTTTTAAGCAGGATAGAGCGGTTCATATTGAAAAGAGATTTATTTTCAAAAAAAAAAAAACAGGCGGAAAATAAGTAATTGCCAGCAAGACCAATTTCTGACAATGGAATCTCATTTACGTTAAGACTTGTTTAGCATCAACCATACGAAACAATAATATATAATCATCATTTTATATTAAAATTGAGAGATATATAATTTAATATATGCTATTTTTTTTAATTATGTTTGTATCTAAGAGTATAAACACCATGTGCAGAATATTTTATATTTAGAAAAAAATTTTTTTAATTCCATACTCATTTTTATTTTATTTTTCGTAACATGACAAGCGTTAATTGGATCGTGCAAAAGGGAAATTCCTCTCTGCCTAAAAAGATAAGATTTTGAATTTTGAGGTGCACAGGAAGAAAATGGGATGAGAGAAAATTAGGAAAAAAAAATGTTATCACCGACTCTGTTGTGATGAACTAGAAATACAGAGGAAAGAAAAAGACTAAATATCTGAATAACTGAAATGTCCTTATATCTAAAAATATATCATACTTAAAATTAAAGTAAATACCAAATGAAAAATATTAGTATCAAAATAATTTAAAATAGAATTATTTAATAAAGGTATGTCACTATATTTTAAAAGAAAAATGTTATTTTCGAAGATCAAAAATAAAAAATGAATCATTTTTGAAATTAGATATAATAAAAAATAAAAGAAGTAGTTAACATAAACGTTAAAACTAAAGTATGAAAAATGAAAGATGGAGGGTATGGAGGGAAATTGAATTTTTCCCTTATTTTCTCTTCACATATGGAGAGGAAAGTTAGAGAGAAAACAGCATGGGTTTTACATTCTATTTTCTCTCCAACTTTCTTTCCTCTCATGTTTTATCCCCTATGCAAATGAGAAAAAACTCACTTGTCTTCTGTTTCTCTTCATTATTTTCTTTCTTCTCTCATTTTCTCTCAATCCAAAGGTAGGTTTAACGTTTAAACATCCCTCATATTGAATCATCGCAAAAATTGTAAGACATAAATTATTGGTTTGTTTTGATGATGCTTAATAATTAAGATCAAAGGTAGTAATATTTACCAATTATTATTGTTATTCCATGATGCATTTGTATTCAGTAATTTATTCTGCCAAAAGTAATAGTTCATCACTTGACTTCACTCTCCTCTTTTTTTTTTTTTTGAAATAAAGGCAAAATGACACTACCTCTTATCCTAATTATAAACCTCGTTTGTAGTTTACTAACAAGATTTTGAATTAGGACCAAAGGTAGTATTAAGTAAATAATAAATGGGTATTAAGTTAAAGAGTACTATAGCAGTAGAAGGACAGAATACAGAATCAAAAATAGAGGGGGGAAAAAAAAGTATCTAATAGCTCTGGACTTCGCTCACTTTGAAATGTGAAATCAAAAGTGGGTTTCACCCCGAAGGAATTACTTTTTCCTTTGTTTACGTTTGGAGGGATTTGAAGAGCGATATTTGTCAAAACAAACGCCTTCGATGTCTGGGAATTCTTATCCTAATCCTTAATAACGAAGTCTAATTAGTCAAAGTGAAAGGATATGCATGTAAGAAAGTAAATTGAAAAGAGAAATAATAAACAAATGATTTGGGATTTGGTTTCACACTTTTAAGTATAAAGTCCAATTCAGGTCCAAAAAACAAAGTATAAAGTCCAAAATTATGGTCTAAGATGACAGTCGGCTTATCAATTAAGACATTAGACTCACAAAGGTGAACTTTTTATATGTATTAAATATTATGAATTTAAATTAAATTATACTGAGATAACGCCTGATTAACATATTTTGAATTAAATTATTGACACGAGTTCACACCTAAATTTGTCAATTGTTATTTTAATGGAAGATGCAGTTTATTTTAAATACATATAATATTAATTTAACATAATTCACTGTAATTTATCAAGAGGAAAGGTATATTATTTTCTTCTTCTTCTTCTTTTTTTTTTGTCTGTTCAAATTTTCCGAGTCCAAATCTCTCAAAAAGCATGAAGAACAATAATTATGAATAAAGTACAATATGGTCTATGCCGCTTTAGTGCTATTAATTAAGGTTGGAGTTTGGTGTGCTTGAGGGATTAGGATAGCCTTCAATCATTCTTATCCTTTTAATCTTCACATATTTGCCATATATTCCCTTCACTTTTAATAGTTTAATTAGTAAATTAAGAAAATTAGTCAAATTAATTTTTTATTTAAAAAAATATTGATTTTCTTAAAATACCGTGTTAAATCATTTGTATTTAAAACTATCTTTGATACAAACTCAATAATAGTTGGGGGAAAGATAAATGTAAAAAATATAATGAATTAAGATCTTATATTTAGGATCAAGTTCAATTTTCAAATCATATCAAGCCACGTTGAAACAATCATGCCAACATATACATGCACACACATCAAGATTTATCTGCCCCCTGGTTATGTCTCAATTTTGAAAGTTTGACTTTGCAGAAGTCTTTAGCTTTCATCTCTAGTAATCAGTAATCAGTAGTATGATTTTTAAAAGAAAGAAAAAAGAAAAAAGAGTTCATCTTCATGGCTTGAGAATCTTGAAAATGGTATAGTTGTCACCAAATGGCATGTTCTCGGCCGCGAGAAATCTTTTACGACACTGCTACTTTTGCTCAGCATGGGGTCGAAGATGACAATGATCCTTTTGTGACAAACGGTGCTGTTAAAGCTCAATCATGTTCTCCACTATTGGACCTAAAGATGGTTAACTTAGCCCATTTGGTATGTTTTTTAATCAATTCCCCGTTTTCTGCATTTCGAGTTTGAAAAATTAATTAGACTACTTGTCATATGATCTAGGGATGAAAGAAGGGCCTCAATCTTTGACTTTTTTCTTTTTTGCCAGCCTCTATCTTTCCTTAATTCCACAAACTCAACCAAATAGTAAATAAGGAGGAAAATAGAATGACCAGATAACCAATGACGACGGGACAATAAAGAGGAGAACAGCAATTTCAGTTATAACTTTGTGAGAGAACAAGGCATCAATTAAGTTATTTACACGCCCGTTACATAGAGGGCAGGTTAAAAAGAACGAAACAAGCAAGGAATTTAATGAATCAACGAGGCTGCTGTAATTTTAAATGTCAGCCTCTGTATGATCGGTTTGCAAACCCAAGAAAAAGACCGAACATTATGTGAAATAATCAGAAGAATAGAAGCCGAAAGCCCTCACCACAACGCTAGACCATTCAGAGCTCCTGGGACTTGCGAATATATTCCAATAATGAAGTGGCCTTCCGTTTAGCCCTCTCAGTGCCACTGAGAGCAAGTTCAGTCAATGGCTTGACACCACCAAGAGTGCGTAAACAAGCAAGATTATTAGCATCTCTCTTACACAAGGAAAATAAAATGGCGGCTGAATTCTCTCTGTGTCGAGGCAGACCTGTGCTCAAAAGATCAATCAAAACAGGCATAGTGCCAGCGTTTACAATAGCAACCTTTGCCCCTTGGTGGCTGGCAAGAACTGACATTATTGTTAGGGCTTCATCGACCATTGACTTTCTGGAATCCGCAAGCATCTTCAACAATGCAGGGATGATCCCTGATCTAACGGCCCTACCCTTGTTCCCTTCACTGATGCATAGGTAGAATAATGCTGATGCTGCATCCTTCTTCCCTCTAGGGCTGCCATTTTGGAGCAATTCTATCAAAGGGGGGAAAGCTCCTGAGGAACCAATTATTATTTTGTTCTCATCCGGAAATGATAAGTTAAAAAGGGTTGCTGCAGCATTCTCTCTTGCTTCCATGCTTCCAACTCTAAGAACGTGCACAATTGATGGGATGGCACCCGCAAGCATTACAAGTCCCTTGTTGTTTTCATATATCGAGAGGTTGAGAATTGAAGTAACTGCATTCTCTTGTGTCAATACATCTTCTGACGTTAACAGGTTGACCAGAACCGGAATCGCTCCAGCTTCAGCAATTAGTATTCTATTGTCTGTGTTCCGCTTGGAAAGTGATCGGATTTCAGTGACCGCTGCTCTACAGTCCTCAATGGAATGGCTGGATAGCTTCAAGACCAGAGCCTCAATGGTGGCCAAGTCACCCGTAACATCTCTAAATGATCCATCACTCTGTTTTAGCTTGCCATGGGCTAGTCCTCTCGGCTGCTCAAAGTTGTTATCTAAGCACCACTGATTGATAAGGCTCCTCAAAACATAATTTGGTGTTAGGTTTAAATTTTCCAACTTCTGGCGAGTTTTAGGACAAGTTACATTTCCACAAGCTATCCATCTCTGTATGTAAGACCGCTCATATGTCTGCAGAATAAAATAGCTTGAGAGTCCAAGAACAAGTGTAAATACTGGATTGTGTTCTACATAGAATCTAAAAGGAACAATACCTGGCCTGTGGCCACAATAACAGGATCCTTCATTAATTCCAATGATATTGGGCAAAGAAAATCTTCTGGAATAACAATAGCTTCAGGTGTTTTAACTCCGGTTGGACCCTTCTTCTTGGAAGTAGCTTGACTTTCAGGATGAATCACATTTGATAAGGAAGCCTCCGAAGAGGCAGGGATGCTCCTCGCCCTTTCCAATTGAAGACTTGCTTGACATGTGCTGCATCTCTTCCCTCCATTGCTTTTAGGAATGTTGTCCAGTTTTAGTAAATACTCAGGGCAGCTGTTTTGCTTATGCAACTGATTCCTAGGTTTGCCATTACGTTCACTAACGTTTTCAGCCAGTTGCTGGGATATGTCATAAGATGACATGTTTGAGATTATAGATCCATATCTTTCAGTGGCTCGACTCAACTGTGTTCTTACCAACTCCACCTAGAAAAACATGCAATACAAAAATAATATTCAGTCAAAAGGAAATTTAAATAGTAAAAATACCAAAGTTACTCAAATTCTACCTGTTCTCTAACTTCCTCTGATATGTCCAAATGGTCATACGGTAATCTGCTCAAAAGTTTCTCCAATTTCCATGTCACACACTGAAATTGGAAGACAATAGTCTTTGCAGCTTCATCCTTAAACAAGGTATTAAAAATTTCAGCGGTGGACCCAGACATACTTTAAAAGGTTAGGAAAGGCAAAATTCTCTTAGATAAGAACATGCTCATATTGAGGAATAATATTTTGTAGACACTCAAATAGAATTATATATGAAATGTAAAGCACAGGTACCAGCTCCCGGCCATAACAAGCCAACATGGTGCTTTTCGCTTTCCCTACAGATGAGAACAAATAACGGCTCGATTGCACATATAATGCCCTTCAGGCTGACTTCTTAGTTGCGATGACAAATAATTGGTTTGATTTGGCCACAAAATCCAACCCATTTCATGGTATGCATAAACATCATTTTTTTTTCTTTTTTTGGGGTCTGAACCTTGTGATCGTATTTGGAGTCAAAAAATTGAAGTATAAATTTCTTTAATCATAAGAAACTGGCAACAAAAGTCAAGAAGCACAATAATGGTAGGGGGGAAATAACTTTGATTGTTGCAAGCAATTTTTAACTCTCTGAACTTGAGAACTAAATTACTCAAACAGAGCAAAATCGCATCAAATTTTGGGGTTTTGCTTGCACATTGATGTAGAATTACAAAGGAACACAAGCAACTAGGAAGTACATTGTCAGCTTAGATGAATTTTACGTTTGTAATCCTCGGCATCACGCTCAATTCATTTATATCAACCACGCAGGCGCTGGAAAATGGCAGAAAAGTATGACAGAAAGTTAAAAATAAAACTCACAGAAATGCAATTGGAATGGAAGTTACTTGCGCCGCATAGAAGGCGCTTAGCAGATTGAAGAGCAAACACCAGATCAGAGGACCAGGAAGAGGCAGATGCATTGGAAGAAGTGGAAGCATCCAACTCAGCAGAATTAACAGCCTTTAAATCCCTAATCTCCTCGAACAAATGGGAGAGAAGTGAGATCCGACGAACCAGATCAATGCAGTCCTTCTTGAACACAGCATTGGCAGCAATGGCGGAGGAGGAGGAGGAAGAACCACAGGCTGCCCCGCCGTACATTGCAGCGATATCATGAACCAGGCCTAGGAGTTCCGGCGTACGGTCTCCGTCGCCGGCGTCTCCGCCGGCCATAGTCACGTTCTCTTCGCCCTTCTCTCCTCTGTCAGAGAATGGTCTAGAGATCTCTGTAACAAAATGGACTGAGCATGTCGATAGACGCGCTATGGGAGTTAGAGATTGCAGTTTCTTGAATTTTTTATTACTTAAAAATTAATTTATCAAATTAGATAGTGCCATAATATGTTCGTTGTCTGGATTATGGAATCAGTTCATAAACTTCGCGACGCCATTAAGAAAAGTGATTTGTAATTACATAGTACAATTACTATGCTAAAATCTAATACTCCTCCCCTTCTATATATAAGATCTAATTATTGAGTTAATTTTAGTTCTAAATATAAAACATATTTTTTATATTTATGAATTTTTTTTAAATTACTTCTATAGATATTCCTGCAATCATAATCAAATATAAGAGAGGGAGGATATTAACAAAAATAATTATAATATTTTAGGAAAAGTATGCTATATTTCTTATAATTAACTAACTTAACTAATTTTTTTAATCTAATCAAATTAATTAAATAGATTTTATATTAATAACATGGAGAGTAGTATTTTCATATTAACTAAAAAGTCTTAATATTACACATGAATTTGTAATATCACATGAGTGTTTAGTATGGTATAATACATAGATATACTTTCTTCGGATGAGTTAATTGAAAAAAAAATTTTAATTTTAAATATGACATATTTTTATCCCAAATTTATATTTTTTTACAAAATTATTCCCCGCTATTTTTATCCCAAACATTCATGTCCCTATCCAATTACTTAGATAAATTCCAACATTTTGCCAAAAAGCATTCACCCATTTCTTCTTCTTTTTTCCTCCTAAAATATAGTTATCTTTCTATTAGAAGCAATCCTATTCCAAACATTATCGGGTATTAAATATAGACACCTCTCTTAATAAAAATTCAAACTTTGGCTTGCTATGTTATAAGTAACTTTCTCTATCTGCTAAATCTAACCCTCTTATTAATAGTATTAACCGTTTGATTAAAAAGGAGCCACTTAACAACGTTGGAGCTGGGTGTTCTCTCTTATAAAGTGTAATCTCCAAATCGGTAATTTTGTTACAAGAACAATAAAAGTTGGTGAATACTTCTTTTAATTTGATGTAAGAAGGTCAACGAGACACTTACAAGTTAATACAACGTAGTCTTTAAAAAATCTTTCTGTTTTTTTTTTTTTGGAAATTTGTTTGTTTCACCCACCCACCACAACTTGTTCTATGTTTCTTTATCTCATTCATGTTCTTGGTTTTTGAATTTTTCTCCCAAGCGATGTCTTTTATAACCCACCATCAAATACATTTGGATCCTTTTTCTATTTTTATTGATCTGATGGGCTTTAATCATTAATAATGCGAGGAATCAAATCTACAAAAGTTTGGATATGGAGGAGATTTTTGTCTTATAAAACATAAAATTAGGTGAGTTTCCTGAGTTGGCTTAAAAGCTATGCCAAATATCTCATCAAAGTGCTTGAATTGGCATTTTAAGTCTTAGAAGTCAATTTGCAGCCTTTCACCCCATGATGCCAAACAAGCATTAAGAGGTATTGTTTACCTATTGATATCACTATATAATAGTGTTATTTCTAAAAAAAAATTATATTTTCCATATGCTTTGCCACTATATTATGTATAAGTTATGAATTATATCTTAAATAGTAGTTAGGGTTTTAATAAGGACATCACATATTTGAATCTTATAGATAAAAAGAATACATCAGGAGAGTTATTCTTATTTCCAATATAATTGAAACCTACACTGCTCAAATTTCAAATCTAACCTATTAGTGTTGAATATAAGATAATTGTAGGATAAATTGATTATCTCTTTTTTTTCAAAAAAAAAATTAAAGAGGCAAGTAATAGTGGTCCTAAGTTACAAGCGGAATCGAATCCATGATCTTCCACTTATAAGAAATGGCCAATGTTTTGGGTAACCCTAAAAGTGCTTTTTAAAAGCACTTTTTCATCAATCGAGGCAAACTCCTTTACACATTTACTCCGTATACTGTAAAAGCACTTTTAAAACTATAATTTTGTTTCTACTCAAATATCCTAAGATTATCTCTGATCAGTGAATTTTGTCATCCAATTGCTTTATCTTCTTTATCTGCAGTGAAGCGGTGAGATCAATTGGGCTTCATGGACCGGCCCAGAAATAATATTAGTAACACATATCGGAGCCCAATACCAGGGAGTTGTTAGGCCCAAACTGGCTTAAGCACACACATGACACAATTAGAACGCCAGTATTTAAAATTTATTCATTATTTTTTAATGTTAAACAGACAAGAGTTGAAAAATCTTATAGTTATACCGCTGAATTAGGCAGATCAAAAAGAATTTATGGGACAATGATTAATTAAATAGTAATTGAATAACAACAAAAAATCGGAATAATATGTAAGTTTAGGGCAATTGTTTCTTTCAGGCCAAAAAAAAACTCAATTGTTTCTGCTTTGTAATACTCTTCTTTCGTTTTATTAGTTCATTGCCTATTAGGAGAGTAGGGAAGACAAGAAAAATAATAGTGCCTTCTATTTTAAATATAAGAGTTAAATAAAAAATTTATTTTAATCATAAATATAGAACTTCAATTTATTTTGTATCTCAAATTTATAATTTTTTTCTCCAAACATTTTTATTGATTATATGTTGTAAGATGTTTTAATAGGGATAACCAAAATGTTTATTATAGAAAGAAATGTATATTTAGAGAAACTGATATACATTTATTATAAATAAATAACTTAATTATTTTAGTATCTGCACACTAATTATCTCACTTTTATACTACTTTTGGTTATTAATATAAGAGTTTGTTGATTAATTTGAGTAGATTAAAAAAATTAGTTAAATTAGTTATTTGTAATAAATTGATGTTATCTTTCCTAAAATGTCTTTACTAAATAAGTGTATTAACTAGAACTATCATTACTATAAGAATTATATTGGGAAAAAAATGAATAAATATGAGAAGCAAAGTGAATTGAGATTTTATATTTAAAATCAAAATAAAAGTCAAATAAACTCTTATAATATCAAAGGTAGTATTAGAAATTAGTAGAAGGAGTATAATTTTTACCTAATGGATCGATTGATTATGGCTAGTGCATGAATCTGGGTTCTGAAGTAGTGGAAAATCAAATGTTGGGATTTTGGGAGTCTCATTCTCGAGGATGTTTGGATAAAAACCAAACTATGGTTTCAAAAGTGCTTTTATAGTTTACGAAGTAAATATGTAGAGGATTTTGTCTCGTTTTGCGGAAAAGTATTTCTGAGAAGCACTTTTCAAGGTTGCCAGTAACTTTTTTTTTTTTTTGGGACAAGCCACTAATAGTTGACTTGTTTACAATCTTCTATTTTCAGTTCAAAAAAGGAAGGAAAAGAGGAAACAGAAAAAGACAAACGCTATAGGAATTTAACTAAGACAAATTTAAAAAATTAGAGAAGTTAATTATTTGAAAACATGTATACTGATTTTTTTAAAAGAAAATATCAAGTTGTTTATATCTACTATGTCAAGTTCTTTAATCACATATAATTATATGTCCTATTTTTGTCACATGAGTTTATAATTTACTGATAATATTTTATAGATAAGACACAGGGCAATGTGTTATTAAAGAACTTGAGTCAAGTATTATCGTTTTTAAATACCCCTCATTTTAATAATTGATATTAGAGTATTATCAACATAACTTACACACACGTGTGTCATACTACCTCCATTTCTTTATAGAAGACCTTGTTAACTAATTTGAGAAGATTAAGAAAATAAAAAAAATTTAAAGTATTTATATTTATCTTTATTTTTCAAGCTAATTTGTTTAATTTATAAATTGATATATAATTTAATGATATACATAAGTATCTTAAAAAGATTATATAACATATGTTATAATTATGTAATTTTTTTAAACTTAATTAATGTTATTATCAAATTATTCAATTAGATTTTATATTAAGAGTTAGAAGTAGGATTAACTTTTACATAAAACCAAGCTAACCCATCATGATCGATCAGATTCTCAAATATACATAGTGCAAGCAGTACCCATGATCATCTGAGAAGAGCATGTTATTGTTTATTTCTGCAAATATATTTTGTATTCTAACGCTTGTTTGGGCAGCTTCCTCGATCAGTTTCCAAATATGAAATCTCACTAGAAAACTGGGTTTTGCAAATAAAAACAAAAGATGCTTTAAAAAAAATCAGGTTTTACAAATCAAAACTGAGTTTATTGGGGAAAATTGGTAACAAAAACACACACCAAATAAGTGGGGAAAAATGCATGGCGTATCATTCCTCCATATGTCCTTCACTTGATACCCAGAATATAAAAAAAAAAAAAATTTATTGAAAGTGAAAAATGAATTAATATATAATGCTCTAAATATTTTATGTGTTGAAAAAATGCTACTTCTACTGAATATGGACTAACAAATGTAGGTTTGTCTTCTTTTTTTTTCTCCTTTTCACTATTATCTTATTAAAAGTAATTTTGTTCAAGAAACTATCAGGCACTAAATATAAACACTTTTTATAAGGGATATTTAAAATTTAATTCGTCACATTATGAGAAACTATTTTTATCCAATTTTGGAATATAGGTTTGCCTTTATTGCATTTGATTGATCTTTTTCCCCTACTAAAGCAGATGTATTTTCTTATTAGAGATAATCTTATTCGAGACACTATTGAATACTAAATATAAATACTCTATTCAGTAAAAATTTGAATATTGGTTCGCTATGTAAAATCCAACCCCCACTAGTTACTACATTTGATTGATCAATTGTGTGTCGGCCAAACAAAGTCTTTGGGTAGCACAGCCCCCCGCAGACCACACACTATATCTTGAAGCCGAAAAGGTGGACCGCCTCCTCATTAAAATGACTACTCTGTTGTTCGCTTTCTCTTTAAATGCTTTTATTAATTCTTGGTAGAAAATAGAAATCACCTTAAAAATAAGCAAAGCAATAAATATTTTTCTTTTTTAAATTTATCAGGGCACTCCTCTTATATTTATAAGGAGAGATAAGATTC